TCTGTTCCAATCATTCATTCCCTCGTAGCTATTATTCGATACCTTCCACCTCAATGCAGATTCAATCTAATTCGGCATAATCATACTCATCGCCACTACATATTCATGACCTAAAAGTCACATACATTTCTTATGCTATTATGACCTCTTCACACTTGAATGATCGTCCCCATGCATTGAATTCAGCCGTTCAACCATCATTTTATTCGTCTCACTGCTTTTTGGCTAACGACAATCGACGACAATTTAGCACAAGTCGTTTTTTTGTCACCCATCGTGGACACTTTTATCGCGCCCGCACTCTACTGAGGGTACAGTTGGTACATGATTGGTACGAGATGTCACTGAATAACTCAGAAATGAGATTTACTACTCATTCAAAGGGTATTCGAGCTACTCCAGACACTGGGTAACCTAGAAAGGCGGCGACAAGTTTTTGGAAGTTGTGGGGTTGACCCCTCCTTTTGTTAGGCCCGAATGATGGTCAGACAGTGTCACGTTATGGATTCCACCAGCAAATCCTTCTGTAATTTCTTTTTCCCTTATCTTTTCCCACATTCCGTTTTGGGGCAATTTTCTTTCCATCTTCCATTCACCTCTTGGTGTTTTTCAATGACTGTATGGCGGTACCGATGAAACACACAGGTAACCGGTCGATTGCGTTCGCTTCCTCTACCCTCTGCACGCCGTCCGTCACCAATTGATCCAATTGACTACCGCTTTCGTTCTCAACACTACCTTTCAGCCCTACCCCCACCCATACATGCATACCCATTCAACTACCGGTATAGGAACACGGGGAAACTGGTACCGTTGTTAGCAACGCTGTTGTTCGTAATTGATAACGACCGTCCTACACTACATATGCAGAACACCTTAACGACCGTCTGACTCCATTTGCATAGGAAAGTAACATCGTTACCAGAGACAAGCTTGTCAAACTTCAGTTTAGCTTTCATTACCAGATCCAGTTCCGCTTGTCCAGGCTAGTTCCATGCCACCCCAAAAACCTTAACGTGCCATAGCTCTTGTTGTGAAAAGGCCATTTGGTCAGTAACCGACCGTGCCGAACAATTCTATGAAAGACGTGCCCATTTAACAACAATTCCAATAAGGCGGAAACTTGTTGAAAACAGCCATAACAGCCAACGTGCCGCTGGTCTTACCCATATGGCTCCCTGCCTCAACGATGTTGGTGTAACACCGAGGGAAATTCTTCAGGTATAAGCTGGTAGGCGTTCAGGCATCGAACGGAAAAAAATTCCCAATAACGCGACATCCGATGTCCAGAAGTTCGTAGGGCTCCTTCCATAGGCGAACTCTTCATCCGAAGTTTTGTTCGGTTTCAGCATCAAAGGATTCTTCTGAATTCAGTTCCATGAACTTCGTGGGTGGTTGATATCGACGGTTCTGTCGAAGAGTATAGGCATGACTCTAAGTCTTCGCGACACACTGTAGAACTCAGAGGATCAATCGAGGAAAAAAGTGCTATAAAATGGTAGAGCTTCAAGCATTCCTGTTCCAGAACGCGCCATGCATTCGACTTCCATTCAGTATTTTGGCGCTTTGAATGCGTCGCCTATACAGGGACTTTCGGTAATCGGCCATTGTACGAGTCAATGCTTTTGTCTTCCCAGACAAGTCTAGTACCAATTACCCGACCTGGAAGTGTGAGAGACTTGGTTGGCCTGGGTCAAAATCGATCCGGGATCCCGGGTACTACACCATTTCCGTCCAAATGTACTATTGAGCCGAAAAACTGTGAAGAACTGCTTGGATGAGCTTTCGTTCGCGAAAATCGCTGAGAAATTTCCCTTGCAGTCGAACTTAGGAGCCCTCTAGTACTCGTAATAGCAAGTCTTCACCATTTTCCAAAAGTCATTTTGAACCCATCTCATTGAAATTTACTTTGCCGTCAACATTTAAACACTCCAACAAACGCCGTCCTCA